ACGATGTGGAGATCACAAGGTTCCAAATTAAAACTGTTTAGTTTCAAAACCTGGGGTCTTAACCACTATGCCACAAATCTGTCTGAAAATAATTTTCATTCTAGCAAATAAGGATTATCATGGAGAGCAAGAAACGTCATAACTTAAGCGACTCTTCAGAAAGATGGCTGCTAGGAATCGAGAATTGCACTTAATATCCAGTACACTGTGAAGTGGATAGAAACATTCAAATTTAATGTTGAGGGGAGAAATCATAAAGTCCAGGACATGAGAAATGGATAATAGCATGAACACACACACATCAACTTTCAACAATATAGCAGCAAAAAACGAACCACAATAATTCCCCCTTTCAAACATACACCCACACACACATCTATAGCTGTGCATCTACATGTATACATGCAATTCATTTTCCTTTCAACCCACTTGAGAGTGAGCTGCAGACATCATTCTATTCACCCCTATGTACTTCAGTATGTATTTTCTAAGAATAAGAAAATTTTCTATTTCATGTAATAGCCACATAGCCTTAATAAAATTAGGAAAATTAACACTATCAATAACTAGTCAACAGTCCATATTCAAATTTACTCAGCTTTCCTAGAATATTCTTTACACTATTATTTTTCCAGTTTGATATCTAATCCAGAATCCTACATTATGTTAGTTGTCATAGCTCTTCAAACTCAGGCAGTTCCTTAGTCATTCTTGGTTTTTCATGACATTGAATTTTTTGAGGCATTCAGTCCTGTTATTTTATGGACTGTTCTTAATTTGGTTTCCCTTATGGTTATATTCTGTTTATAAAATTTTGACTATCTACCAAGAAGATATATGACTTTTTCCAGTATATTTTATCAGGAGACCCATAATATGATGGGTCTAATGGTATCTTTGAAGTTAGTGTCTTCTATGTTTCTCCACAGTAAATTTTCTTCTTGAAAACATGTTTAATTAATAGAAAAGAGATACTTTGAGACAATATCAATTCCCTATTCCTCATCAAACTTTCACCCAAGGTTTTAGCGTTTATTGATGATTCTTGCACAAATCAAGTTTCATTATGATGATTGCCAAATGCTGGTCTTCTAACTCTTCTTATTTCTTCTACATTTTTAGTTAACATTCCCTTGTAAGAAAGAGATATTTCTTCTTCTTCATTTATCAGCATACACTTGTGGATTCTTATTCCATTCAATCAGCTATAGTCTATCACTAATCATTATTTATTTGATGCTCAGGTGGCCCCAAATTTGGCTAATGGGAAACCCCCTGTAGTTGATTCCTGAGTCCTATTAACATTACCTCATCATTTGAGCATTGATTATTTTTTTGTACAATGAATATTAAAATTCTAAAGTGAGTGTGGAGATCTATATTGTTTTGTTTCCCAAGTTCTCTTTGTATTTGGAAATGTATCAGTGAGTGTGGGTATGGCTGTGTAGTCTAAGAAAATCTGAAGGGTTTATCTTCTAAGTCTTACTTTGGCTAGAAATAGGGAATGGTTTTCAGCCACTATTGAACAGAATTGTCACGTTGTTTTAGGATGATGATGTTATGAAGAGACAAGGTCAGTGAATTGTACAAGGATGGGAATAGTACTGTACATTACTGTTCATTTTCTGGTCAAGGTTACATTCTCCCTTCTGACTTCACCTGATGTCAAGTGAAGGCGTTTCTTTCCTTAGAAATGTAGATACATTTATATAGACTGTTAATTTTACTATCTGGATTATCCAATAACCTTTCCATGAACTTTGTGAATTCTCAGCTTGTCTTCCTTGTGGGTCCCCAGTTACTATTTCTCTAACTGCCAAAGCCAATTAGATTAAGTCCCAAATTGATGCAAGGCAAATTTCTGCCTCTTGCTGACTTTCACAAGCTATTTAGCTTTTTATTAGCCAGGCAGGAAACAGATGGCATGCTGAAAGGAGGCATAGAGAAGGTTTTGCTGAAGGGGCTATTTACTAAAGTGTCAGCAAGGTTAGAGGAAATCTATAAGGGACAGGGAAGCACTCTCAGGCCAGCAACAGGCCTAAAGGACCAAGAGGAGGAATGACTACTGGATCCTAGAGAAAGTAGCTGTAGCCATAGGAGGGGGTTGTCTTCCTGGAGTTGACTTTTTTTTTATGAGATCATAATTGTGTACATTAATTCTATCATAGGATACAGTGTGTTGCTTCCATATACAGTTTGAAAAACTCTCATCCAACTGGCTAACATAGCCATCATGTCTTTCTCATAATTGTGGTGTTAAGACATTTATATTTGACCTTTAGACAAATTCTCATGTACCCTAATAGGATAAATCATAGGCGTGATCCCCACAATATCATTCTCTTCATGAGAGGGGTGCAGTCACTGCCAACACAGGGCACCCCAGCAGAGAAGGGATTTGTTAGTTCACTCGTCTCCTTGGTCCTTCCCTGCTGGGGCTTCCCACTTGCCAGACCAATTGGGAGTTAAAGGGGGGCCCATTGTTGCAATGTTGTCACTGGGACACACAGCAGGGCAGAGAAGCATGGAGAATGGTTCTGTAGGAGCAGACAAAGTATCTCACTCACACATGGCAACTCAAAATTTGTTAATGATAATCTAAGGGCTTCTTTTCCTTTTAAATAGCTCAAGTGGCCATCACCATCACTCTGGTTCCCATACTTTTCTTGGAGGCTCTAGCTTATGCTCTGGTATCAGGTCTTTCTTCTAACACACCTGCTATTTATAGCCACTATGGGAGGTCATTCCTCCCAGTGATATTTCTACCTGAGGTTTTCTCATCTGTCCAAGTAGGCCTGTGTGTGCGTTATGTATTTAGCTCCCCTTCTCCCCCAATTTGTAAAACAAATAAAAAATCTCTATCTTATTATAATATGCTGTTAACAAAATGTAACTGGGCAAACAATAAAATAAAAACTGTAATCTTTATTAGTTTTGCATATTTTTAATGTTGGTTAGCATCATTTAGGGTAATAGTAGCATTTTCCAGCATGCAGTCCACGAATACAGTTTATCTAAGTAATTTTAAGAAAAAGAGGAGCGTATGGTTTGCTCCTGTAAGAAACACAAGATGTCCTGATGTAACTGACTATGTAAGTTCACTAAGCTCTTTTATGTGGGGGAAAAAAAAAACCCTATGAAGCCCACATTATATTGAGAACAATATAGAGCAGCATGACTCTAAAGAAATGGAAACATAAACAGAAGTTGGAAAAAAAGATCAAAAGTAAAAAATAAGCACTTCAGTTCCGTTAGTGCAGGTACTACCCAACACGTAAATAAAATTTTATACCTTTCCAATTGCAAAGCATCATTTAAATGTGAGTTGTGAACCTATTTTGCCCCTTCAAATTAGAAAATAATCTAAAATTAGCAAATGTAATAAAAAAGCAGACATCTACAACTATCCAGTCTTGTTTTCATTTCTTAGTTAGCAAATTTCTTCCATGAAAAAGTACTATGGACATAAAGTAAAAAAAGTGATCGTGGTATCAACCTGAAGATAATTTCCTTTTCATATTTATGTACATAATGCTGAAAAATAAAATAAAATGACTTTTTACAGTATTTATATTTACTTATAAAATTCTAAACACATCTTTAAGGTTAAGCAGTGTTTTCTTTTTAAACATGTCTGTACAGTCTGGCTATACACCATATGTTATTCACTTAACATTTAAAAATAACCAAAAAGCTGTTAAAGTGCTGCAAACTATTGCTTAATGACTTAAAGAAATGAGATTTGTTGAACAATTTCCTTGACTTTACCACTGACATATGGTTTCTCATAAAGGAGATTCTGAGCAGTGGGAGAAACCAGATACAGCAGCCTGGTAATATAAACATGCATTGATAGCATCCAAAGTATCTACAGTGGTACAGAGTACATTGTATTACCTGTGTAAAGCTTGCACTCTACATTTCTTGTGGTACGTATTTGATGCAATAAATACTGTGCTTAGGTCATTATTTGTTTGCTCAAACGTGCACCACAGGGTAAAATGACTATTTACATAATAAATAGCATTTCATTAACATATACAGTGTCAACCTTGCTGAGAGCTGAAGATGGCTAAACAAAGTACAGGATTAAGCAGGAATTTATAAAGGATTATTTTGGTCAATTCAGTCTTCTGGGGGAGGGGGCCACGGGGGGGCAATATTCATTATTCAGGGTTTCTTTTTTTTTTTCTTAATACGAAAACAGAAACATAACATTTATGACACCAGACATTTGAATGAAGTTTGCACGTGCTAATATTTAATGGTGCCTACCCAAATCTGATCTACTTGGTCTGGAGTAGATTTGACAAAGCAAGATCAACAAAGCACTTCCACTTCTCAGCCAGTTACCCCTCCCAGAAACACGGATGGCGTTTAAGAACTCGTTGCTGTTCTCGTGACTTTTTCTCATGCGGGATCTCTAAGTGCAGCGTGCCTCATGCAAACCACTTTTGTATCTAGATGGGAGGGCCTGCGGTTGCCGTACCCCCTGGTGGTACACCTGATCATGAGGTCCTTTAGTCTATTTCCCAACAGAAACCCCATTTACAAAAATAGTCACATATAATAAACATATGGATTAAAAAAAAGATGAATCCACTAACAGATTTTGTAAAAATGTGACAAATGTGGCAGTTGAAATGCAAACAGTGGATACAATTACTACACTAAAGTGTTTCATGTTAAACAACCCCCAAATTATAGGTTTGCACCCCTTTAAAATGGTCCCTACGGTCTGAGTAGCCACTTTGTCTCTGGTCTTCAGCAGTGTCAGCTGGTAATGAGAACAGTAACCTCCTGTCAAGGTCGTCTCCTCTTTACACAGAGTCAGTTGCTGACAAGGGGATCACTGACTTATAGTAGGCACTGACCTTAAGTAGATTTGTGTAAAAACAGTCAGTTTGGCATTGACCTCCAGAAGGAGTTCCATGGACAAAAATACATCACCTTCGCAGGCTGTAAACAATTTGTCACCCAATATTTTTATTTGTTTTTGTTTATTTCCCTTTGGCTTTTTCGTCTTTGCCTTCTTGCTCGTGTTTTTCCACGATTGGCTTTGTCACCCGATCATAGGAAGGCGGACAAACTGCAGTGGACATGGTCAGATCAGTTTTCTCTGTAATAGAGTTTTCATTTATTCTGTCAATTATCATGTCTTCTTTTACAAGAAGATTAGCGCCACCTTTGATTTTGTTTTTATTATATGTAAATGAAGCTTGTTTTACAGTTCTCTTTAAAAGGTGGCGCCTGTAAGCTCTCTGAATAATGACAGCGGATACTTCCTCTTGTTTTCGTTTTAACGTAGTCGTGATTGGCTGATAGGAGACCTTGGAAGGGTTGGAAGCCATGAATCGCTCTTCCATCTGGATGCGGAGAGCGTCCATCTCTCCGCTCTCTCCCAGAACCCGTTTTGTAAATGCAAATAAGATGTCAAGACAGTGGATTCGGTCGCCACTCACCATTGGCAAATCCATGGCAATGAGCTGGAGTTTGTTTGGTTGTGGCAAGTTGAGGGGAGGTTCCAGAGCAGCAGCAAACTGGGATAGCTTTTCAAATTCCATGAATTGGGTCGCATCGGGATCGAACTTCTCCCAGACCTCGTAGAACATCTCAAAGTCATCCTCGCTCAGGGGCTCTGCACTTTCTTCAGTGGCAACACTGAAGTTCTCCAGGATGACGGCGATGTACATGTTCACCACAACCAGAAATGATATGATGATGTAACTGACAAAGAAGAAAATCCCAACAGATGGGTTCCCGCAGTCCCCCTTCACTGAGCTTCCAGGGT